AGCACTATAAAGTCGGGATTATATCCGCCATCTTGCAAAGAGGCATGTACAAAGCAAACCTGCCTCAAGCACATCACATATGCACACATTGAAGTACGTCCTTAAATGACCTTAGCTGTTAAACCTGATAAAACAAAACCAAAACAAATAAATTAAGCCACGCTATTAATTGTCCCTGAGGTACTTGTAATTTGACCTTCACAATTGTTCTTGGTTAACAAAAATATTTTTTTTTTTACGGCATCTCCTTTTGGGAACCTGACAATGTCGTTATAATGTGACAGCCGTGTTAAACTAGTTCCGTATAATCTTTTACACAATAACGTAAATAATGTGTATCGATATGATATATAGCGTTTAAGTTTTTCGTTGTTAAATTTTCCTGGTTATTTACCTATATAAAACGTATGTTTGATGCTACACACTATCTAGTCCTAGATTCTCAAGCAAAACATTCGCAGTTTTATCGTGTAAATATCTTCAACATAAAAATAATTTAATAGTTGTTTAAAGCCTTCCGGCAGTAGAAAAGAGGTGAGACTCCCTACCTTATTTAAAGAACGTCTATGATCGGGTGGAGATGCCGTAAGATTAACAGTTTATATGTGTGTTTCAAGGAAACGTAAATTCACGTCAATATACCCATATATACAAAAACAAACACTTCATAAATGAGCGTTTCTGCTATTAATATCGTCATCAAGCATACAGATCGGTGTTGTTTTACTTGGTGTAAAGTTTCTCTTAATTATAAGGAGAGGTTTTTTTCACATACATTTTTCCACTATTATCAACAGAAGACAAATAATGCTAGTGATATTGGTCCAGGTTATTTTGTTTGCCGATCACTGTCCGATACGTTTCAAACATACACACCCTCGGCATAGATTGTCTTTTTTCACATTTCATAATTTTCACATAAATTTTCCACTATTATCAACAGAAAAAATCTTGTTAATGATATTGAACCAGGTAATTTAGTTTGCCGATCACTTTCTGATATGTTTCAAACATACACACCCTCGGCATAGATTGTCTCCCTTTGTTTGCTTACAGAAGTCGCAAAACATACACAGAATGTAGATGTAAACAACAAACAAATGTCTAATGTCAAAAAGTTTAATAACGATGGTAAGAAAACAATTTAGTATATATATATATATATTCAAAACGAGGACAAAGACATAGAAACACGCACAACAATATCTAAATACTGCAAAACAGGACAGTGTATCACGATTATAAATAAATTGCTAATTTCTCTTTTTTACTTTCTTTGCGTCTTTGTTCAGTCAGCACGTTAGCAGAGTTACGATACGTCTAACCGCATCCCAAAAAAATCACAAGGAAAATGGACGCTATAGCAGGAAATATTTCGGTATCTATACATGTTTATCCGCATCAAGTAGTCTATTTGTATAAAGAAAACAATATAAACTGGACAAAATTATTGCTTAAAACTATGGAATGTTTGTTAGTTTGTATTAATTAATTATACAATACCACGAATATATGTTTTAGGAAACATCCTTCACTTGGCGTTGTATGGTCTATAGATACGTTACATATACCCTTAACTAGATGCGTTTTAAGCAAGAATTGTTATATTTAAAAACGCCTTTGCAATAGTTAGTATGTTAGACTTATGTTACAATTTTATCAATTTTATTGTATCTGGCCTAGTGTTGAACCATCCTAAAGCTCCCCCTTAGAAATCCCAATGTAAACTATTTCGCATTTACATAAAGCGACCAAAATTCCCAATGGCATTCATAACACTATGAGTACAGTGGAATGCGGCTTACAGTAATTCTCTGACGTCAGTATCATTATGATTTTGTAAAAAGTTACGCTAGCGATCAAAAATATTTCAAAAATGGTCTGTTAACTTCATTACGGAAGTAATTTCTTAATACAAAGTGATGTATTTTCGATACGAAGACTATCATTAAAAAGGTCAAGAAAAAGGACAGAAGTGTTTAATATGTATTTGCATACCGGTCTAAAAGTAAGGTAGCGCTTCATTTAAATATTCATGTAAGCCACACTGACCCGGAAATACAAACATATTCCTTTAACGTAATAGCGACTAAGTATAGTGACACATGTTTTTCCTATATTCATGGAATTGTATCTTTAAAAAGCAAAACTATGAAATCCAATTACCCTGATAAAGTTATTAAAAGAAAGACATGTATAAAATCACAAATTAATTTCAGTATACACACAAATTATCTAAACAAATTAAAATAAGTTAATAAATAATACCCAGTGATAATATGATATTTTTAAATTTTAAAGAATTTGATACTAATTGCTTACTAAAAAACATCTGAATGAAAAGAAAAATATGTATATCCATTACCGGCCAATGTTAATGTTATTCTAAGACCTGGCCTGTAACCTTCACTTTGACAAAACCCCACGACATGATCACGTCGGGATTAACATAGCCAATAGGAGGCAAACATATCGTATGATATCATAAAGCTAATTACAGTCAATAGCACACCGTCGCGGTAGGTCATTTGAAAAACACAAAACCGTGTCAAATGTGCACACAACATAATATGACGTCGTCAAATTGCTTCATGTTAGCCTGATGACGTGATCACCACGTGTCATATGACGTTATTAGACTTAAATACTCAAATCAAAATGAAAAAAGCCTTTAATCATATTTTAACCGATTCAACCAATTTTTCCACTATCAATATTTTTCCTTTAGACTTTATTAAATAATTATTAAATAGATTTATCACCAAGGAACTTTTTTATATCAAATCTATGTCACTATATGCTTACTGACCATACGATCATAATTATAAATAAATAGTAAACAAGATATAAAATACATCTAAATTGGAAATGAACAATACACTCGTGTATGGAAATACACCAACAATGATATTAAGGTACGTATTACGGACAATATTTAAAAAAGAGTTAGCAGCAGTTAAACTATAAAAAGAACAGTTTTAACAATGTTATCAAAAGAATATATCGAAAATTTAAGCAGTTAAACATTATAAAGGACAGATTTTTTCCTCCTGTATAACTTTCAGGAATAACTCGTTTGACAAAATTTCGACTGTAACGACAGCCTAAATGACAACAAGAAAAACAAAGAGCTTCTAAACTCGCAGCCTACAATTTAACTTGTTACTGGTAATGTATAAAATAGTATTTAAAATGTAGAAGAAAAAAACCCATCTATATTCTATATATTTCTATTTCTATTGGTGACTAAAAAGAGACAAATCAAGCGTTGGTATTGACAGCCGATATCCGTATATACGAACTTGCGTCGTCCCAGTATCTTGATGACAAAGATAGTATATTTACATAAAGATCCAAATCTGGAAAAAAACTCCGAGCAAATATTTCACCGTCAGTAAGCATTGAACGGTTTTACACGTTTTGGTCTAACCGTCCGTCCGAACACATATCCAACCACCCGTCCGTCCGTCCGTCCGGACACTTCAATGGATGGTATGGACGTGAGGCACTCTCGGCGTTTGAGCCGATCGTTAACCCTTTGATGTGATGAGTAAATGTCTGTTATGAATAATGCATAGGAAGTTTGGCCATTAGTTTTTGAATCACGGGAATGGTTTTTTTCGCTGATTGCCTTCGCTCATCATCTGCTTAAACTCTGAAAAAAATAAACCAGAAAGTCTATGTACTATAACTTTAAAAACATGGACAAAAAACGTCGCAGTGTCAACATAATGCTGTTTTCACTTTGAGGGCGTGGCACCATTTCAATCTGTTCGATTTAAAACCAACCCTCTTCCTACCCCTGTCAGCTGATGTGTTTTGTATTCCGTTGAGTGGGTGCGGTTTTTAGCCAACCAAACTTAGGCTAGCTGACATTTTTTGTCTATATTATGGTAGTTGTTCCTATTTTTGTAACATTACAACTATTCTATGCTTAAGTTCTTTTAATGAATAAGATTTTTTTATGATTAGAGTAATCAAAGTGGCTCTATTGGAATAAATTCAGATACCACAATTTTGGTTTCCTTTTTCATTCATTACGTGTTTGGAGTTGTTTCTTGTTATGAGTGTAAAAGCAAACAGAGTCTACTTTAATCATGGTTGAATATTAGAATCGAACCCTTCTTTGTGATCCAGTCCTCCAAATTAATGTGATACTTAGAGTAGGCTCTGAAATGGTGAATAATTGTGGTATATAAAGTACATCAGAGGAGTGGAAATATTGCTACTTGGAAAGAAAATATTACCGATTATGAAATTAATGTCATAACGTTTGACAAACAATGTAGTATAGTAGTGGTTTATCAATTGCGATACCAAGATAGGGTGTTGAAGAAGTCATGATAAGAAATGTAAAATGTAAATGTAAATGTAAAATGTAAATGTAAAATGTAAATGTAAATGTAAAACGTACATGTAAATGTAAATGTAATATGTAAATGTAAAATGTAAAATGTAAAATGTAAATGTAAAATGTAAATGTAAAATGTAAAATGTAAATGTAAAATGTAACATGTCCGTGGCGTAGCAAATCATTTTTCTGAGTGTATGGTTTCAGATGGTCGAACGTCCGAGGCGTAAATATGTATAGCGCCAGAGGAGGGGAGGATTTGGGAGGGGGAGTTTCCCCTCCCATAGCTGGAAATCAATTCTACTAGGTCCTGTAGCAGCAATCTCCTGTGGTCTGGGAACTCCTTTTAGTCTGATTATCAACGATTAAAACCCGACTTGCTATATTAATAATATTGAATTTTGTGCTTCACTAAGTAATTTCTTTTATTACATAACCGAGAGATTTGTCAATGTGTATAGACATAACATAACAACACTATTTGAGCAGACTACAATGTTCAAGAGGATTTTGGTTTTATTTCTTTCCTTTTTATGATTGATACGGACGGTCCATATTTAACATAAAAACAAATTCTTGAAAATGTTAGTGTTTTAGCACTCAAGCATACACGTGTGCTACGCCACTGCATGTAATTAATGTATCCTACCAATAATGTTGATGATAAGAAACCCAAGTGTATGTAGTCTTGATCTGACTCAACTGTTGAGATAACAATACAAATATACCCAATTGTCAAAGCCTCCCGTGCTTAGAAATAAATCTCATAAAATCTGACCTTCCGACAAAGTTATGAATAGACCATAATAACCTAACGCAATTGCCAATAAACGGATACAACTGGTTATGACCTTTCCACTTTGACCTACCGTCAAAGTTAATCTGACCGTCCCCGTCGTCGTCGGCCTCCGTAATCATCATGTCTAGTTCGTCGTCTGACAGTTTCTGACCCAGTCGTTTCATAATATTTTTCAATTCTGTTCGGCTGATCAAACCATCATTATCCTCGTCGAACATACTGAATGATTCCATGTATTCGTCATCGGTAGCCTTGGAGTCCTTCATCATGAGAGTAAACTCATCGAATTCTATCGTACCATTGGCTACCGAAAAAAAAAGATATACAACAATTGATAGGATGAAACTGGATTTTTGGAGAGAAAAAAACAACATGTTTTCATAAGAGATATAAATTGATTTGGTTAACTTTTAATTCATACAAATATTGATGCATAAAAAGACACGTACAAGAGGGAACTCGACGACCTAAGATCCGCCAAAGCGTATAAAGTTTTAAGATATGTACGTTTTCTGATACTATTTCTAAACATTTAATATAGGTTTGTAGAAAAGGTCGATGCAGCCCTACAAGTTGAGTATTCCTGTGTGATGGTTCGATGACTAGTACGGTATGTACCCTATCACCTTCATCAGAGAAATGAATATGTAGGAGTTGACTTCGATTCAACGACTATAGTACATTACCTATTTTTCTGTAAAAACAGACCGTGTTTCTTTCATTGTCACAGGTAAAACTGCGTCAATGCAATATATCTATATGTAAACGAAATAGCAGGAACATTTAGATCAGCACACTTTGGACTTTATATACTTTTTGTCGTCTTAACGAACTCATTGTCTCATGATTTACATCTCAGCATCCCACCTTATAAGGAACAGTTAGATCACGTGACTTACCGTCCTTATCGACGTCATTGATCATGTCCCGGATGTCATTGGCGGTATGGTTTTTACCGAGTGATTTCATCACAACCTGCAGTTCGTCGAATGTAATTTTCCCGTCTCCATCTTTGTCGAAAAGGGAAAACGCCTCCTTGTAGGCTGTAATCAAACAACGGACGATAACTCTCGCTTTCTTACATTCACAAACTGAAATATTTTATAAATGTGTACCTGTGCCGTTTTCGTTTAAACAGTTGAACCGGCTGAACCCCAGTTGTTCGTTTATTAAATAAGGTCGGACCTAGTAATATGATGCTGCTTTAAGTTGAGCCCTGAGAAAGCCTTGCAAGGCCTGCATACACATTTGCAGGTCCGCAAGGATTTATTCTCGAAATCATTACATTTAAAAACGGTCAAACCAGTTGTTCCGCATAAACGAACAGGCCCAGGATTTATATTCAAGCGTCTTAGTGAAAGTACCGCTGTTTTTTGTAGTTAAATGCATGAAATATCTTATCCACGATCACTCTTGTTCCTTTCTTCTGCATAAAAATATTTTTGTAAAATATGGGATAATTTTGCAGAAAGTGTCAGTAGGTGTTTCTCTACAATTATTGTAATGGAATGTATTATTGAAAATTAGATATTTTGCATTGATTTCCGAAAAAACCCGAATTCGTTTCTACGTAGTCAAATATTGTCTAACAGCTTCTTCTTCCGTTACGTATACATTCCAAAAACTGCAGATTAAATTTTAAGTATAATTCCGAAAACGAGTTTTAGCAGAATTATATCACTTTAGAGATGATACCTTTTAAGTTTTGAGCGATACATTTATTCTCTATCTAAGTGCCAATATATAAGTTTATATTATATACTCATCCCGGGCCGTGACTAGTTTGAGTACCATGATAATGATTTTGTTTAAATAATCAATAATTGATAGTATTTCAATGTATCACTAGTTAATGTGACCGGATACAACTGCGGCTAGTTTTATGTGTATACGTTACCATGGTAACACTGTTTTATTTGACCTTAACCTTGCTTTAAAGGTGATCGATGATATCTGAAATCCGGCGCCAGAAACTCGGGCGATAACAGCGTATACATTACGTTAGGTCTCGTGGCGATTATACAGTATACGATAGGCCCCTTGGTAGTTAAAATATCTGATTAGTTTAGATAAAAGTCGAATTAATTATGTTAATTATGCTTAACATTTAAATGTCATATTGATAGGGAGAGGAAATATGACAGACATCCGTCATTATCGGAAATCAGACACGTCATCTCCATTCGGAACATCTCGGTTAATTAATTTCTTTTTGTGAAGACGAAAGCATCGGTCAAGGTCGTGCTTCGGGGGCTACATTCGTAGCCATTGTTAAAATACCATCAATTGGTGAAGTTTACCTCTTTAATTTATCTGAATAGCTTTATTTCGGGAATCAATTCCATTGTGCCTTTTTGTTTAACAAGGTATGGATTTAGCTTAAATTACTTTGTTGTGTTAATAATCTCGTGTTTAGTCCAATTTTGACTGGTTTTCGATTCACTAAATTATAACACAAATGATAAAATATGACATTACAAAATAACGTTTTGATAATACTTATCAACCGTTTCTCATCAAATAAATTAAAATCAATAAATACACATACTACTGCAAAGCACTTTATACTGAACACTCACTATAGGATCTGTTTCCTTCCAGCGAGACTTTGGCGAGATTGACTTAAATTTAAAGTAACGCAAACGATTTCAAAAATTGTTGATCGCATAGCCAGTACATCTATGCGCATACACTGAGAACGTAAAAGTGTTCCCCGTCACGAAAAGCTTGAGGCAAGCATCCTTAAATGTTTAAAGTCATATCGACCACCGCTGTTACGACGGAACTATTGATATATAAACAACGCCGGGATACAGCAGCTGTTCAAAGCCTAGTTTGCTGAACCATTAATTACCGGAAATATTTTACAAATGAAATATTTTTATGATATTCAATTCGAAAATAAAATTACATGAACCGGGATCAAAACGATTATCAGAAGGGAAAACTAATCTAAATTGTTATTTCTCTTCAAAAGCATTTTCAAAATTTTAGTTTTACCATTCGTTAAGCTAACCAGTCGTCATTCAAGATACAGGTTCAGATCCCATTGCACATGTTACACCTATACATATATTACACCTAAACAGTACCAACTGCCACAGGAAATAATGATCAGTGTAATTACGTCCAGAGTCAGCACAATGTTATAGGTTTGCATACTATATTCGAAATTACCTATTTGTATATAGATTTAGCGTCAAATATGAATGACAAGTACATTTGTATACAGAATACGGGGAAATACAATTCTTGTTACAGTACGTCACTGCAGAATGCCATCTGGTGTCAGTTGCTGAGTTTCGTTTATCTGTTTTGGCCTAACGTTGTAACGTTACTTGCTTGGTTGTGCTTGGTTTGGATTTATTTTGTTTAACGTCCTATTAACAGCTAAGGCCATTTAAGGACGTACCTCTATGTGTGAGTTGTATGCGTGCTTGTTTGTACGTGTATGCAGGAGACAGGATTTGTTGGCGTACTTGCCGCCTTGTGATAGCGCGGATCTGATACCGACTATACAGTGCTATCTCACTGAAACACCATGCCGAAGGCACCCATCACAGCTAGCACTCCGCCCGGTCACATTATACTGACAACGGGTGAAGCATTTGTTGACATTACCGTTGATGCTGAACGTTAGAAGGAAATAACAACTATCATTTTTAAGGACTTTGGTGTAGGTCCGGGCCTGGGACATACCAAAAGGTCAACATTAAAGCCAAAAGTGAGGTATTGCCAAGCAAGGCGTTAGCAAATAAAAGGTAGTTAGAAGTAGAGCGAAATAGTCGCCTCTAACGATTTTCTCGATCCCCGACCTGCAGGGGTGTACAACGTACATGCATAGAACATTTCCTACATTACCTTTTTTTCCTACATATTATTCGGAACACTTTACACATAAATGTTTTCGTTCTTTCGACCTTAGTACCACGGATAAGTCTTGCATGAAAATGGACGGAATAGCCATATGTTGGAGTGAATTGTTAACTGTTTTTCTGCATACACAAACTTTTTTTTTCAAATAGGCGCATTTCTAATGAATATCACGTAACTATTAGCAAAGCTGTTTTTTTTAACCATATCAGCGTCTTGGGGTACACACTACTCCTTTTTCTTAGTAACTTATTGTTTTTACAATCTAGCTTGGTCGCGTTAGACAGATGGTCGTTTAATACAGTTAAATTACATAGTAATAACGGTCGGGAGGAATGAAAAGTGGCCGCATAAAACAGATAGTCGTTTAATATCGATGGTAGCTCAAGTAGATTTGAATATTTGGAGAGTACGCTATATTAAGATGTTGCAAATAAAATTTTCAGTGAAAGCAATGTGTGTTAAACATTTAAATAATTCTGAATTTACGTGATAGAGTGAAATCATCTGTAGATGCAACTATTTCCAAAAGAAAAGCATCACAAAGGTCTTGCGGGTCCTAGCGGATATCCTTGAAGTGGAGAGAAGGAAGAAAAGAACTGGTGTAAGAACAAACCAGGCTGGTATCAAGTTTGTGAAACCAGGGGAGAAAGCCACAGTGAAGCCTCGAAGCACCTCATCCATCTTTGAACGGGCGTCAACATGGGAGATGAAGGTTGACCTTGACAGGAAGCTTGTGTTTCCAGGAATAGTGGAAACAACACTGAGGCCTGACATGGTAATCTGGACAGAGCAATCCAGACACCTCATCGCCATAGAGCTCACCGTACCATGGGAGGAAGGCTGCGAGGAAGCTCACGAGAGGAAGAAAGCCAAGTATGATGAGCTGATGGAAAAGTGCAGGAGCAGAGGATGGACAGTATGGCTCTTTCCAGTGGAGGTTGGCTGTAGAGGTTTCCCCGCACAGTCAGTGTGGAGGACACTACGGTCAATAGGACTCACTGGGAGGGCAAGAGCTACCGCCATCAGACGATTGGGAGAAGCTGCAGAGAGAGCATCGTGCTGGCTATGGCACAAACGAGATGAGCCGATGTGGAAGCCGACATAGACGAGTAGTGGTTTGGCCACCACTACTGACCCACCAGCCGAAGGATGTAGTGATTAAGGGTCGAAACATCTGAAGAGGGCTGGCCATCACCTGATGACGTCAAATGAGGCTTCGCGACTAGAATGACAGCAGTGACGGACTACAAGTCAAGGATGTCACAAGATGCAGAATCACCATCATCTGTAAGCAATCATCGTTCCATTGTGATGCCACAGAAAATCCTATGCTGAGGGTATATACATCAGCTAAGCGCCACACATCTTTAAAGAAGGTATTAAAAGCTTAAATTTGAATTAAAGTGAAAACGGAGAAAATATTGACAGGATTAATATATATGAAATATTGAGTTTCAAAAATACTTCATTAACTCTCGTGAACATGATTTACGTTAACCACTGTTCAGAATCTACGGTAAGACAAGTGTTAGTCTGACAAATACGTACCAGCCTCAGTTTCATCGTCCGTTTGTTCCTGGAAAGAAAAAGAGAATTTCGTCAACTAAACGTTATTACAATTACATATTTAAAAAAAAAAAAAAAAAACAAACTCTGTGCATTTCCATCCAAGAGTGATTGATATAATTTGATAGAACAGGTTTCATAATTGTTGTAAGTTGTAAAATATATATCAAAGTTAAACTGTATTATACTTTGCATCAAATAGAAGCTGGACGTAACAGAACTCGTGCGTGTTGACAGAATCTGATGCCCATGTTGAAGAACGATATACACATGTGTGCCTCAAGACTTGATGAGTGTGGTATATATGTGATGGTAGTGTGTATGGTGTTTTTGCACTTCAGTTACCTCAACAATTTTTAGATATAAAGTACTTTGTAATGATCTCGGTGATAGGGTTCACAGGTGTGGCACCTTTCTGTTACACAGCTACGACTACGCCATATTTACATTTTTGAACGAGTTTTACATTAACTGACTTGTTTACAGCTGATACATGCAATATTAGGAACACTTCATACCTCGGTACACTGATGAAACAACGGTGAGTGGAAACATTCATCCATTTTTTATCTGTATTGATCAGTATAAAATTAGCATTGCGAACGATGCGTCATTTCAAACCTTCAAAGAACATCATAAGGTTCATTTTTGTTACTGTGTTTTATTTTTTATTTTATGACCTTGTCTGCTTAAATGCTTTGATATGTCTGTTGTAAAAGTATGCATGTTTCTGTTTTAACTAGCGTGGATGTCGTTTTTTTTTACAAAATTATGAATACATTTTTTCAAAGCAGGTAGAGCGTCATTTAAACCAGACTATATTTAGGCCAAGAGGATATTTTAAAAGCATGGATTCCTTTGGTTTAGAAAAACAGATATATTTGCTGAAATAGGATACGTATATTGCTTAAAAGCATGGATATCTTTGTTTTCTTCGTGAAATGCCATATTTTTTCTACTGCATTGTACAGGAAAATGCCTTGAAAAATACGTGTCAAATGTCCGAAACACTATTTCAAACTGATTTCTGTTTCAGATAATGTTATTGTAATAAGAAAATATATTTCTATAACTAAAATATTGGAAACAAAAGTACCCAACGTAACTTATGATTCTTTCTTTCTTTATGAATATGGTATTGACTGATTAATTGTTAATATGTGAGCTATACCAGTGTCGGACTGGTGTTATTTATTGCTACATGTCAGCGGCCTTGGTTTGGAGCAGGTCCCTGATGGAGTATACATGTATAATTATTACTGTAATCTATATAGATATATTGATCCTGTATTGCCTACAACAGTCACACTTCCATTATTCCAAGGACAAAGTCGTGACGAATGTCTAACTTCCGTAGAACTAACAATTGATAAACTTGTATTATTTTGCTTTTTTTTTCTCTCTCCATAAATTGTTTCTTAGAGCTGATTAAAACATACTTGTATCAAGGTTATTGTGTTCAAAGAAAAATAAAATGCATTTTAATTTTCCAATATATTTGATTTTAAATCCTAACTACACTGTATTTGTTATTTGAATACGCATTTAATGATGGAAAACAGCGATTTTTTTAATTGATTTTTTTAGATAACAGACATTTAAGGAGTTGAGGTTGAAATATGCAGATATATGCTACCAATGACGCTCTCAACTTGCGTATGAACATAGAGTATTGACATCATTGACATTATCATAAAAAGCAAACCAATCCATTTACATATACTTTGAAATATTACGCCAAGTTAACTAAAAACAAAATAGAAAAAACATTTTATTTTTTATTTTTTTTTATTTAAACGAAACATTCTGCAATGTTATTGTACCAACTGTATGACCTCTTCGTTTCGCACTAGTGCGACTGAGTGAACAAATAAATCTTGAAAGCTTGAAACAGTTTGTAAAATATGGCACGACATTACTAGTGATCTTTTAGTGCCATTAGAACGCAACAATACCCAGACAAAAATTCCCCTCACAGACATTTAAAAGACGACAATCACGAGATTGGGGAATAATTGGGACTTGCTCATCGATCTCGTGTGCAAAATTATGCAAAACATGTCGAAACTTCAAAACCAGAATTCCTGCATGTGTTGCCGAATGCCCAATGAATGAGAAACCCTAACGGATTGTATCTCGAAAATCTGTTTAAAAATCTCAACGAATCGCTATGTCTCGTGTACAATACAAAGCTTAACATTAGGTTCAACCATATCTGCATATGACGCCGCTAAAGGCTAGGCCATTGATGAGAGTAGAAATCGACCATTCTGATTCTATTTTTTGATGTTAGTACCAGTATTTAAACGAAACAAAGAAGTACGGCTTGAGAACAGGAACTTTGAAATGGCCTTTTATGTATAGTACAGGATATTATTCTTGTGAGACTGTTTAATTTTAGTAAATTGTCAACAAATAGACAAGGCCTGTTTAATTTTTGTATGCTAATTTTTCTTTTCAAACACTGACATAACTAAGTTTTTTTAAATTTCATCCAAATTTGAAATTTGCCTTAAGGATCACTGTCCAACTGTAGTCAAACACTTATGAATTCCACTTTGGTTTTTCGAGTATACAGTAACCTCCCCTTAAGTTCGTCTCTGTAGTACAATTGGGAGGCGCACTTCCGTTGACAAGGTAGCTAAGCTGGTTATATAGTATAACAATTTGAGGTCCAGGGTTCGAATCCATGTTTAGCCCCGATGCTATTGTACACTCAGAACACTGCTGTTGATAAAAATGTGTATATTTTATCTTTATTATTTCACATAAAAGTCCCCCAAGGTATGGTTTTCTTTTTAGAAATGATTTATCAAGGCATTAGTAATTCCGGGAAATTCACGTACACTGTTTTTTTTGTGTATTTTGTAATCGACCATTTTAAAATCGACAAATTGATTTATTTCTATTGCATCACTATGTTCTAAATATCGAACTATACGTAGACATTAACTTTGTAAAATGTGATACCGATTCAATAAAATTTCGATTAAAAATTGCATTGATCGGAAACGTGTTTTGAGCTCTGTTAGTTGACGGTAATGTCGTATGAACGTAAATTTATATTTCGATTTAATCTAGAGATTGATACATTCCACATGTCTATAGCAACGGTACAATGGCCATGGCTGGCATAGGTGGATCGCGTCCAGACCTGCCAAGCGCGCGCGCGCCTCCCAGGATGGTCTGGTATCGATACACCTGTCACCCTTTACTGGAGTCAGTGATACGGAGCCGCGTTAGACATGCAGTACACACATTACATCGATTTACTGCGGAACTCTTATTACATCTGCCAATGAATTCAGAGTCAATATTTAAATGAATGAATTATTCATTGACGGGGATTTCCCTGTTTCTGACACTGTTTTCCAGCTCCTGACTATAAGGGATCGTCGATTGGCCGTCACGTGACACACCCACGGGGACGGACCACGATGTTTCCCAGCTCTTGACAAGCCATCACGCATCGACTGTCACGTGACAAGTTTCGGGACGGATTACGGTGTTCTCCGGATCTTCCACTGTGATTTGGGAAGGGTCAACGATGTTCTCAAGTTTCTGAATACCGAGTCGCATCAAGAGTTGTACTCGGGGATGGACTACGCATGTGCGAATCGCTGATCTAGACCATCGATAACTTATATGGGTCCTGACTAGGGGGCGCTTTTTGAGACGGACTTACCTTAATTTTATACAACCAGAAAAGTTGATAAACAAATATCTGCAACATCACGAGCTTTTATTGCACGTGGAAGTTTTTAAATCGAGACATGTAGGTTTCGTTCCCTTTATATCCATGCATCCCAAAAAAATGTTTGAAAGCTGTTCGAAGGAAAAACTGTCGGAGTGGGTTGCTAGGATGGTACATGTACATGTACATATGTAAAATGTAACTATGGTGGCCGTGATTGCTAGAATAATATAGTGTCTACCGAATCTACATCGATAAATGAGTAAATTTAGAAAATATTCAGTGAACATCACTAGTTTTCTTCTTTTGATAGGTTTAAAATTAGTGAATCTGAATAGCCCTTAAAATATTTTGCTGAACCTTGAACGGCACAATCTATAGTATCAATCCGCCGAGCCCTTTTTTTCACTGCGTACACGCTAAGTTACATGTACACGCAGTCAGAGTTTACTAAACTGGAGCAGGGAAATATGTAAATATCAAGAATTGATCTGGTATATCGCCTTGATATTAATTCAAATGAAACACATGAAGATATATAATTAAGATGGCTATTGTTTTTGACTATGCTCCCCTCCCCACTTAACGCCCACCCACCAACAGACCAGAGCGACAACGGTATGAATAGTTGACCAGATATAGCTGTTGCTATGATGATAACATGACCTTCAGTGTTGGCATCACAAGACTACACTGTTAGAGTCTTGTGATATGCCGTTCCATACGAGCATGATTTAAGTACCTTGTCCTATCATAGTACTGTACAATTTGACATATACATTCTTTAAATTTTAATGTATTTGGTCTATAGCGTGCAGACAAGACAAAAAGGTCAAAATGTCACAAAGGTCACAACAGAAAAGGTCAGCGATGTTACAGGCAGTCTGTTCGATATGCGTTAAGATATAACTAATCATGATTATAATTTTAGAGTCTAGATTCATTTAGTATCGAAACTAAAGAGAGATACCATTCGAATCCGATTTACTTACCTTTTGACATTTATTTGGCGTAATTAAAGATTAGATATTTTTAAATAAGTTAAATACATTGTGCTGGCCCTCGATTGCATGTCGGCCCAACTTAAAACACGAGTATGCATGAAAAAGCTCGTGCTCACGCGACATAATTCATCGTTATTGCTTTATGATTCATGACTAAATGTTATATGTTTTTCATAGCTCACTTGGTAACACGGAACGAACTACTGATTGAGGAAATTTACTACATTCCTAGCATATGTATTGGTGACACTACCATTAGTACGACCAAGTCTGTCGCACCGGGCCGATAAACTGGAACGTTTCCTTACTACA